CAATTCCACCTTGATGCTCCTCATCTCGGAGCATGTTCAGCCTTGCAAGTAGCATCAATCCCTCACCGTAGAACAAGCTCGGAAAAAAGAGAAACATACACCGCTAAGACACGGACTCTCTGCACAACTGGCGAGCAACCTTTCACAGGTGGCACCGCCACACACGTCGCTGCCGGCTAGTCTGTCTTTGCCGAGCATGTCCACAAGGACAGCTGATGCTTTGCTGGAAGTGGAAGTTGAACTTTCACGATGCGGGAAACGATGAGCCCTTGTGTTGACATGTTGAAAAGAGGCCAGCTGAAGTGACCATTCGTTCCTGCTGCAAGCCTCGATGCGTGTTGCAAGCAAGACACAGCTTCCGCTTAAACTTAGGCGAGACAAGATGACAAGGCCCGTCATTTAGTGAATGCTCCAACAAGGCAGTAGGAACGGGGTTTAGCTTCAAGCTGAGCATCCTTCTGTCTGCGAGCGACTAAAGCGAGCTTGGACGCGGAGGACAACTCCCCCTGCAGAAAGAGCTCTGTTGTTCGTCACGGAGCCGAAAGACAAGAACGAAGCCCGCGAGAAGAAGTAAGGAGTTCAAGTACAGCAGATGTGACAAGAAGGCGTGAAGCTGCATTCTCCGTAGTTCTACATTGATCGGCAGACTGGAGGCAGGATCAAATCCACAAAGGAGCAAAACATGCCTCCAGATCGTTCACCCACAACACAAGTTCGAGGGGTCGAGGGCAAAGATGCATCAGTCGGCATCGCAGCGAGAGGGGCGCGCTGGCAAGGTACCGCCGGTCGAGCTTTGGGACTGGAAAGCGAGGCTTTCCAGAGACGCCAAGGACATGAACGGCAAACCTCGACGCACACAGCAACAGAACCGAGGAAGCGGGCTCAGCAGAACCGTTCCACTGATGACCAGTCAGCATCGCAAGAAAAACAACACAAGCAATCCTGCACCTCCATGACGGTCAGGTTGCTCGCAGTGACTAGCTCCTGTGGCACGTGTAGGCCAATCAAAGCATAAGCCTAAATTGGCACAGCTGTCCTTGCCACCACCTCCCCCGATTTCTAAACAGCGTAGAACACATCGATTGTTTCTGCGTGCTTCCTCCTGGAGCGAAAGGAAGCGAGCAAACAAACAAGGAGTGCAGCCGTGCACCCTAACCTTGCCTGGCCTGTCGTCGGAGCTCTGCCTCCGCCTGGCAGAGCATCACAGCACCGCACAGCATGGCATCAGGGCATCAAAGAAGCAAACTGCAATACTGCACTGACATGCACTGACAGTTCACCACACCAGAAGCTGACGACCGCGCGTCAGCTTTTCTTTTGGCTGCCATTTTTTGCTCCTCTTCCATTTTGACCCGCTTCTCTTCCTGCAAAGCATACTACATGCTCCGCCTCATCGAGACTCGTGCTAGATGCCGGACCTCTTCCTTCCTCCTGAGGGCTTCCTCGAAAGCAATTTTAGCAGCAGCACACGCCGTAGGAAGCTGGCTGGACCTCTTCCACGCGAAGACGCTCTGCTTCTTCTGCCGCCTCTGCTGCCTTCGCCGAAAGCCCGCGCGCGATGGATAATCGAGACTTTTGCAACTGCTTCCTACTGCTTTCCCACCTCTCGACGAGCGCGCTGTGCGCCGATTTCCACACCAGCTCGAATCAAGAACCTGGCACCCAGAGAGGGAGACAGAAGCTCCCGGCTCCAGTCCGGGCCATGTTTTGGGCGTCTGGCTGGAGCTCCACTCTGGCGCCGGCACGCCGAGCAGCCGGTCCCGGCTCAGGGATTCCATTGTCCTCTCTGGAAAGCCCCATGGAGCCATGGAGGTCACAAAAAATCGAAAAAATTGTCACTCTTTGAAAGCCGATGGTCAAGAGCAGCTTCGGACTCGGAGCTGGGGAGGACAGAAATTCCATTGAACAAATGATTCTTAGCATGACGCCAAGGGTGTTCGATGCTGCCTTACGTGGAGAGACGGAATGCGGGCCGCTGCCAACATGCAAGTTGATACCGAAGGGGTGAATGCGGGTTGGCAGGAGTGCAAACAACCGCAAATGGCATCACCCATACACTTCAGTCCTTGATGGTCTTCTTCTCGTCCATCTCTTCGCCCTCGTAGGCAAAAGTGATCGTATCCTCTTCGGTACAAAGGCCGCGCGACGATGCTTCTCTCGGCAGGTCGGCAGGTCGGCAGGTCTCTTGCATTCGGGCGAGGGCCTCGGAGATGCTGAGCTTCTGCGCCATCGCCGCCTCTAAAATCTTCTAAGCATCATACTATAGACAGTCCAACTACGACCTACGAACAACGAGTATCCACGCCACAGCCTTCAAATCCGACAGAGGTGCCGACTTGGCCTTAACATCTTGTGAGCTCTTGAACAGGATGGCATCCCGGTCTCTGAGGAGTCTTGTTAAGGCATCAGCCATCTTGACAACATAACCACCTTCCACAATTGTCGGAACGTGTCAGACATTGCATTGCTGTTGTATGGTACATGTTGAACATGTCCCCATGCCAGCCTGCGGGAATGTCCTGGAGTGTCTCTGCAGGATGCACAACGACGTGATGGAGGTAACCAGTCTGAAGATCCATTCTAGGATGCAGTGCGGAACCTCTACGACATGCTTTGCTGACCCATCTCGCTCGAATCGGAGAACCATGCATTCATTCGCTACGTAGTTTGGGAGCCAAGTCCACAAGGTCCCTTGAGGGTCCTCACCGTACGTAGTTCGCACCGGCCTTCAAATTGCAAAAGAGGGAAGCTCGGCGGAACTTTGGTTTTGCAGTTTGACCTCATCTGCACGGCGTTGTGCGGGTCGCCGCCGATTGGCGGCAGCTCCTCCGTTGGCTCGGGCTCCGCCATTGTGGACGCTCCCCGAGCTGAGCTGAGCTGAGCTGTCTTGAATGGAACTTACTCTGCAAGCAAAGGTCAAGAAGAGCTGTCTAAGAGGATGATGTGAACGGTATTTCTTTTTCGCTGGGAGCCGTTCGTCTGAGGACTCATGATGCCGATGTCATGCTTCTGTTCATGTAGGGCGCAAAGCACGCTCACGTATGCAAGAACATAGGCAGGAACCTTCTCCACTGCTTGAGATCCTCAAGTCAGTGAATCTGACACGATCTGAGTAATCCTTAACTTGGCTCCGTACGGGAAGACGGCCAAGTCGACCAAGACCATGAACAGCCTGACCAGCACCGAGACCTCGGAATGCGATCGCGCCCGCTCAGCAGGCACCAGGTCTCTCGAGCTTACGTCACCGAGCTAAGTGCTCCAACGCTGCCGCACAGCCTCCGGCATTTCGGGCCATGAGGTAGATCAGGGACAGAGGCAGCGGAATGACAAGACAAACCGCACAGGCCTCCCATCTTGATCCGATCTAAGGATCTTCCCAGGGAGACGATGATGAACACTGCCGATGGCAAACCCGAGGCCCGTGCTAGAGCGATATGGATGCATGTGCAATCATGTGCACATATCATCAGACCCCAGATACGAGTAGTACGCCTTAACAGCCTTAACACGTTTCCTTTGTGTCCTGGAGCTATGGATTCGTGCTGGATATATCAAGACCGAGGATGACCGAGGATGCAGCCGAATGTCAGATTTGTCATGGGTGCTTCGGAGTTCGGGCGCACTCGCATCAAGCAGCATGGCATGAAACCGAGCGGAGCAAGTGATTGTCTGATAATGCCGCACCACTCCGCAACACACTACTGACTGGCTCGCTGAAGTCTCAAGGCTTCCTGCTCTTTTTTTCTTTCTGCATTTGACCCTGAAACCACACGGTTTCTGTACACAAACTCGTTAACAGGCCTTGACAGCATGGGTTGCCCATGGGCCCATGGACGTCTTGGCAGGGCTGACGCTTCAGCCCCTATCATTAGCATGCATAGGATCAGCTGCCTCAATAATTTTCCTTTCGGACATGCGAGCGATGCACCCATCTGACACCTCATGATCTCCAGCAGACAAGGCAGCAGCCCGGAGCAAGTTCCTTTGGAAGGCTTGCTACACCATGCACTTGCGATGTCTTGACGCTGTAGCTCCCCAAGCGAACGCGACCATGCCGGACTACGCTTTCTGGATCAACCTTGGCACACGGCATCTGGCTTCAGACAGAACTTGAGCTCAATCAGCTCTTTGCAGGGCTCTTGCAAAGTCCCAATGACGATAGTCATGACCGACCAACCTCGTTGCATCTCGTGGGTGGTGTATCGACATGAGCAACGCGTCAGTGTTCTGAGCCACGGTCAGGTAACTTGACGTCCAGAAGCCCCTGTCAGAAGAATGTTGCCACCCTGAAGCTGCAAGAATGCTGCAAACTTGGGTGGGCTGCTCTTTCAGTTCGTTCTTGGCTACCCCCTCTGTGAGGCTCCGGCACCAGGAGTGTTCCAGCCATCCTCGTTGGCGCTCAGCATGGGCCTCATGATGTGCAAGCACGTGCAGCCCTGGCACGCTAAGCATGCCCACAGACTCTTCGGGAAGCTTGTTCTGTTCTGGCTTCTCTCAGCTTTCCACGGTGTAGTAGCAGGTGGAGGTGGGAGACAGTACTCCATCTGGCCCTCCAGCACAGTCTCGTTCCACAGTACCAAATCGAACCTGCTTCTGCTTGTTTCGGTCACCGAGGATCTAAGGTTCTAATAGTTGCAGGATCCTCCAATGATTCCCGGAATGCAAAGCTATCTCCGAAGATTTGAAAAGAGGTACGTAATGCTTGGACCTTGACCTAGGATTGGATCATCATCATCATCACCACAATCATCATCATTCTCATCATCGGTATCATCCTCTTCATCAACAGCAGCATCAACTTCTGCGATGTGACAGGCGTTGCAACTGCTGTCTCTCACACAAGATGCAATGGTCGGGTTACACCTTGATATTCCACATAACTTGTTGTATGGAGCTGTCTGTAGTATTGGACATGCATCCAACATGGTCACTGGCATGTGTGGGTAGTAGTGGTAGCAAGTAATAGTAGCAGTGGCAGTGGCCGTGGACGTGGCAGCTGGCAGTTTGCAGTGGCAGGGCGGCAGCGGCAGTTGCAGCTGCAACGGCAGCGCAGCAATAGCAGCAGCAGGGGCAGGAGCAGGAGTCACAACCCGCAGTCATACTCGTGATACTGGTAATGGTACTGGGATTATAGTTGTAGTACTAGAAACGAGAAGTAGAAGTAGCAGTAGCAATAGTAGCACAAGCATAGTAGGAGGAGGAGGAGGAGGAAGAGTAGTAGTAGTAGTAGTAGAGTCGTCGTCGTAGTAGTAGTAGTAGTAGTAGTAGTGGTAGTAGCACGCGCGTAGTGCGTATTTGATGCTGCGTTGTCGTCCACGTCGCAGGCACAAAACACTGTTTTTTG